CCAGAGAAGACCTTTAAATATTGTATACATAATATTTTTTAAAAAAGGGTTCATGGAAGGTATTGTGAGGTAGAGATACGTACATTGAAAATGTCAAGCTTGAAAATACTTATTTTAGAAGATTTGTTTGGTCTATCTATGCTACTTCAAATATGCCACCACCACACTTTTCATTGGCGTGTAGGTCCACAATGCTGGTATTGTTGGTGTTTCATCCTATAGTTTTCTCGCTCTAGCTAACTCAGTAAGCATCCAAAAAATTGATGGCGAAAATGGCTAGATAAGTAGACATTTTTAGGCTTTGAAATAAATGCTAAAGGTTTGTTTTTTTTTTAAGATTTCGTGGCAACGCACGGGTAAATCAACTAGTAGTTTTTTTACCCACCATGAGAAACTGAGAATCAACATATAATAAGTCGTGCAAATGTAATTTCATTACTTAATAACATGCAGCAATAACAATTTACCATAAGATCATTTGCCGAAAGACAGGATTGTAGTATAGTGATCATTTGCCGACAGCGGCAGTACAGCAGTAGTAGTACGTATACTCGAATGTATCGGCACTTTGGCAGGTGAACAATGATCATACCGTCCTCTACTCACCCATACATATACAAACATCATGAATATACATACGGCCCCACATTTCGATTTTTCTGGTACTACTAGTAGTAGGTTGAGCCTAGGAAATGACGATATGGATTCCTTATATCTGGGTGGTCTGCAACCTTAATAATTACCATGATAACACCATCAACCTAATTGCTGTACTTTAGCCTCTGATTGCAATGATGAGGACGAGCAAGATTTGGATCATGGGAGAATAATCATAAATTCTCTCTGCCATGGCATTGAAGCTTTGCTATGATTTGCATGCTTGGTTTGATCTTTCTGGTGGGCCAGATTGGCCGTGCAAAGGACATCATCTCCATGAATGCACTGGAAAGTTTTGAGCTCTTGTGAGTAAATAACTTATTTTTAGTTCTGACGAAGAATCAAAAGATTTTTGAGACAAATGCTTTTGGTTACATATCTAAGGAGCTTCAATAATCAATCAGATTACCCAGACATTGGTGGAGTATTGTATAGCACACTATAGCTAGTGCTTGGTCTACTCATCTGCATAAGAGCAAGTTTAATAGTATAGCGAACTACTAATTCTAAATCATCTGTAGCCAATTTAATAGCCAATTCATACAATAGTTGTTTACTGTACTATTAATACCTGGTCCCACCCATCATACACACGTTGCATCTTGAAGTCTGTGCTGCAGCGGGCTACAGATCTATAGCCCGCTGCTCTTCTCTCTCATCTTTTATCTTTTTAGAATATGTTTATAGCTGGCTAATAGTCTGCTATTGTACCTGCTCTAACGGTGCGATTTTGGTGGATTTGTTTAGCTGGCATCTCATATGAAATAATTGTCATTAATTGTCAATATGTATAATTTTCTATTACATAGAAGATTATGCACATATACACACAGCATTACATGCTCGTACATCTTATGACACACACCTGAATGCATCCTTAACACATGCTCGAAGAGATAGAGTCCAACAACAAATATGTAAACTCATTAATTTTTATGCAAAGCACATCTACATCAGTAGACACCGTAATTTAAAATCCTAACGAGCCCACCACTTCATCACCTTACACTAGAGGAGAAGTGAGCTTTTGTACCGGTTAGTAACCCCTTTTTACCGGTTCTAGCAACCGGAGATAAAGTAACCGAGACTAAAATTTTTGATCTTTAGCACCGGTTGAAATAACCGGTACTAAATATGCATACGAAATAAAAAATGAGGGTTGTGGAATTCGATCTAAAGATCTCTCACCTCAGCTCTCACGCGCATAACCATTCCACCAACTCTACACATCTAACTAGGATAGAAATACTTTCTTTTATCTAACCCTGGAGACATCTTTTGTATATTTAGTCCGGTTGGTGTTACCAACCGGTACTAAAAATATTTTACCAATCGGAAGCAAAGATCCTCCAGCATTAATCTGGGGACTAAAGATATATTTTTAGTACCGGTTGGTAATACCAACCGGAATTAAAGGTGTTTTTGTGACTTTGACTTTTAGAACTGGTACTTAAAAATATCTTTAGTACCGGTTCTTAATTTAACTGAGATATTTATGTTTTGGGTAACGTGATAAAAGATCAGTTCTCCATTAGTGATATAAATGGTGCTTTCCTAACATGTGCAATTTTTCCTGTCTCCTAAGTTTGTACTTCCTCTGTTTCACAATGTAAGTCATTCTAGCATTTCCCACATTCATATTGATGTTAATGAATCCATATAGATATATATGTCTAGATTCATTAACATCAATATAAATATGGGAAATACTAGAATGACTTATATTGTGAAACGGAGGGAGTAAAAAGCATGTCACGATTTTGTGTTAAACATGTTAAGCGATCAAATCCGGCAACACAACACAATGAATATTGCTATGGACAATGATTTTAAGGTTGGGTGTACACTCAACAACTACAAATATCCTATTTTTAGTGTTTGGTGGGTTAGAGTTCAAAGATTTAAGGTAATTGGCTATTGGGGTAGAAGTGGTATGACGTAAGAGGCTACGAGGAATGGATTTGTTAGAGGAAAAGAAAGTCAAGACTGAAGTATTATATCCAGTTTGAGTATATACACATGTTACCTACCTACGTATATTGAATTTCGCCGTAAGTTTTCTGGGAAAAAAACTTTCAAATATAACTACAACTATACTAATTCCTATGTTTTTCATGCGCTTTATCCAAACAACAATTCCTGCAGTTTCCTATGTTTTTTCAATCCATAGGATTTAAGATGTTAATTAGGGCATTTGGGGAAGCACCAGTACACGAATATTGGACACATGTAGGTGAGTTTTCATTATATTTTAGTGAGATTAGGAATGTGCCGCCGGCTTTTGTCTCGTAGGGTATGTGTTTGGTGGGAAAATATCCTAGGCACACTCCATGCATACCAACTAGCAAATGTCACGAATTTTTTTTTAAAAAAATAGACATTTACTAAATTCTCATATTCAAATCCATTATATTTTAGCCATAAAAAAATTGAAAATCTAACAATTTTAAGGATAAAAATATGTCGGATTTTTTGACTTTTTTTACGGATAAAATAGTAATGAATTTGAAGATAAGATTTTACATGTAGGTGTAATACTATTGGAAGTATGTGTCCAATTTTTTCTAGAATTTTTTGTGCATTTGCTAGTTGATGTACACGGAAAACTTGTATGCATAGGATATGTTACTGTGTTAGGTGGTGTATTTGCGAGGGTGTGAGTGTAGCGCTACGTGTATAGTGGTGTGTCTGCGTGTGCGTCTATCATGCAAACAGAAAAAAAAAAAGATGTTATGGCATTTCAATCATGTATTTGTTTTCCTTGTTTCTGTGTGCTTCAGAATCTTGAGTTCCAAAAAAAAGCCCAAGAGTCTTCTCATGATTATGACAACAAATCAAATAAAAATCTAACTTGATCAAACTCGCTAAACATTAAGAAAAAAGTACGGCGAATTCTGAAAATTAAATAAACCTAACAGCCTCTGAAATAGAAAGATATTTTAGCTCAAAGATAGGGAACAACACTCCCAAAAATATTTTTGGAAGGATCGATGAGAGGTTCAACTGAAATGCATACGAGAAAGAGATAAAGAGTGAATCCACGTAGACATGACAGGAAAAGCATATCTCTCTGAAGTTCTGTCACGACCGAGAACTGAACGCTGAACAGTCACCGTATAGTGTCTGGGTGTGTTTAGTCGGGGAAAAAGGAAATTTTTTGCTGTCACATCGAACGTTTGACTGGATGTCGGAAGGGGTTTTTGGACACGGATGAAAAAACTAATTTTAGAATTCGCCTGGAAACCGCGAGACGAATCTTTTGAGACTAATTAAGCCGTCATTAGCACATGTGGGTTACTGTAGCACTTATGGCTAATCACGGACTAATTAGGCTTAAAAGATTCGTCTCGCGATTTCCTCTATAACTGTGTAATTAGTTTTTTTATCTATATTTAATGCTTCATGCATGTGTCCAAAGATTTGATGTGATGTTTTTGAGAAAAAAATTTGGGGAACTAAGCGGGCCCCTAGACGACCTAGAAAAGCTTTGGCTCTTTTCCTTTTGTTTTTGCACAACCCCAAGGCTGGCTGCGTGTGTTGATTTGATTTAGGACCAAACTTCCTGGGAGCAAGCTCCAAAATGGAGGACGACATGAACAAACTAGGTTAGCTTCGCCTTTACCACTTTACATAATTACATGTAGATGAGCATGCAGCTCACTCAGCAGTTGGGGGCCTGGGGCTAGTTTTTTTTGCATGCATAAAACAAGCATGGGTCATATGGGTGAGTGAAGTGAGTGAGTGAGCAGCATGCAGGTGGTACAGAGATTGTAGAGGAGGGGATCAGACGTTGGTGGGCCGAATCACTCCGCACGAACTGAAAATTATTCCACCATCAAAAGACCCCAGTCAACTCATCATCGACGCTCTCAACTCTAGATGGGCTCCCTTTCTCGTACGCTTGTCGGGGCCACGGGACAGTGACACCCTCTGGAGCAAAATTTGTACGGCATCGATCTGTGGAGCAAACTTTGGAGTTACCACGCATTTCGGCCGTTGGTAATCCGATGCAAGTTTGGGTCTTGCTATTTGCTACTCCCTCTATCGTAAAATATAACTAGTGGTAACCTTAAATATTAAAGACAGAATATTAAAGACAGGGATAAAAAAACTTTGTTGCCTTTTCAAAATAGGTGAGGCTTAAGTTTAGGCCAGTCACAATGGAGGTTTCACTGGTGTGTCATGCACATTTAATAGGGGTAAGACTGAATAAAAAATGATTATTTGCATGAAATGGGGATGAGAGAGAAGGAAAGAGTTTCATCCTGGTGAAACTCGTCAGCGTCGTTTCCAAGTCCTCGGTAACAGAGTGAAACCCCCGTTGAGGCCGATTCGTTTCATTCACCGGATCTCTTGCGTCCGCCTCCGCCGTGCGACCTCCGCATTCTCCCGCGCCGCGCCGCGCCACGCCTCCTTCCCGCGTGAACATTCCTCCTTCCCGCGCGAGCGATTCCACCATCTCCCCCGTCCGGCGCCTACGGAGTACACCGCAACCGGTCGCCCCAATCCGGCGCCTAGACCGTGACCCACCCGCCATCTTCCGCAAGACCGAATCCCCAACCCACCCACCATCTTCCGCCGCCCCCGTCCCCGTCCCCGGCCATGGATCCGTCGCCGGCCGTGGATCCGTCGCCGGCCGTGGATCCGTCGCCGGCTGCTGAAACCCGGCGGCGTGCAACCGGGAAAGGAGGCAAACAGCGCGGGGGCAAGCAACTAGGATTGAAGAGGCCGCCGCCGATTTCTGTCCCGGCCACCCCGCCTCCTGCTGCGACGTCTTCATCCCCTGCTGCGCCGACGGCCATCCCACCACGACCACCGCAATCTTCGCCGATTTTCGTCCCCGATTCGCCGAATCCGTCACCGGCTGCGCCGACCTCCTCTCTTGCTTCGGGGACATCGACGGCAAGGCCACCGCAACCACAAGGAGGAGGATGGGGACCAACATCGACCATTTCCCCAAACTTTGCATCTTTCTTTGGAAACCAACAAGACCCAAATTCATGGTACATGTATTTTCTTCTTTTTCTGTTACTTTCAACCTACGGTAACTCTAATTCATGGATGAGACTACTGCCATTGTGCAGTTCAATGCTTTTTCTTCATGTTATATTTCGTCCAGCTGTGAGTTATGGTTTGAAGATTGCTGTGGTTGTTTCATTGCTGAGTATGTGAAAGATAGATGGATGAAAGAGAGAATTATATTTTAGTCTGTAATCTTGCTCATCCAGTTGCTCATGTATGACCTTGGTTCTAGAATGTTGCCCTGACTGTATGCTTAATGTTCAGAGAAGTGATGCCTAAAGCAGTGAGATCAGTGGGATCAGATTAGCTATCGACATATAATATTAGCTATCTCAGTTGTGAAAGAGAGATGGGTGAAAAGGCACCCCTTGGATTAATTCTGTAGTATCAAATTCTGCACCTTGTCTGTCCATATGTTCTGCTTGGTTGGTGGGTGCAGTGCATTTGTAAAAAATAGTTTGCTTCTGATCCTTAATATATGTAACAGGGAATGAATTTTCACCCATCTCAGTTGTAAAGGTACTGTCTTGCTATGCAATATGTGTAAATTGACAAACCTGAAAATAGTCTGTTTGGAATTTGCAAAAGCAATTCGATAGTTTGGAATTTCCAAACCTCAGTCAGCAGTAGGCAATCCATTTTAGTTCTTGCTATGCACAAAAACAGTACACCTGATATGCTCATTTTAATACAACTTTTTTGTCTCTGTTACAGTTTGGTCAGGGGTTATCCTCCAGGAGGGTTTGTCAATTTTATTCAACAAAATTGTCCGCCGCAGCCACAACAGCAAGGTGAAAATTTTCATTTCGTTGGTCACAATATGGGATTCAACCCAATATCTCCACAGCCACCAAGTGCCTACGGAACACCAACACCCCAAGCTACGAACCAAGGCACTTCAACAAACATTATGATTGATGAAGAGGACAACAATGATGACAGTAGGGCAGCAAAGAAAAGATGGACTCATGAAGAGGAAGAGAGACTGGTATTCATCGGATACTTTTACATTTCCATATGTCTTTGTTTTGACTAATACTTGACAGGTCATTAACTGATTCTTGTAGGCCAGTGCTTGGTTGAATGCTTCTAAAGACTCAATTCATGGGAATGATAAGAAAGGTGATACATTTTGGAAGGAAGTCACTGATGAATTTAACAAGAAAGGGAATGGAAAACGTAGGAGGGAAATTAACCAACTGAAGGTTCACTGGTCAAGGTTGAAGTCAGCGATCTCTGAGTTCAATGACTATTGGAGTACGGTTACTCAAATGCATACAAGCGGATACTCCGACGACATGCTTGAGAAAGAGGCACAGAGGCTGTATGCAAACAGGTTTGGAAAACCTTTTGCGTTGGTCCATTGGTGGAAGATACTCAAAGATGAGCCCAAATGGTGTGCTCAGTTTGAATCAGAGAAAGACAAGAGCGAAATGGATGCTGTTCCAGAACAGCAGTCACGTCCTATTGGTAGAGAAGCAGCAAAGTCTGAGCGCAATGGAAAGCGCAAGAAAGAAAATGTTATGGAAGGCATTGTCCTCCTAGGGGACAATGTCCAGAAAATTATAAAGGTCCACGAAGACCGGAGGGTGGATCGTGAAAAGGCCACCGAAGCACAGATTCAGATATCAAATGCAACATTGTTGGCCGCTAAGGAGCAGAAGGAAGCAAAGATGTTCGATGTGTACAATACTCTATTAAGTAAGGATACAAGCAACATGTCTGAAGATCAAATGGCTAGCCACCAGAGGGCAATACGGAAATTAGAGGAGAAGCTATTTGCGGATTAAGGTGAGTTTTATAAACTGACCACTATTTTCTGAAATGTATGAATTCTGAAATTTATATACAATTGTGTAAACATGGAAAATTAGATAATGTATGCATGATGCACAACATGTGCGTGCAGCACTATTTAATGGCAGTTTCACAAGTGTGAAAACTGACCACTATAGTACTATTGTGGTGTGAAAACTGACCACTACTATTGTGGTGTGAATGCTACTGTGGTGTGAAAACTGACCACTATAGTTTCACATTCCTGGATGCAGCCCTCCTCTATATATATAGATACAGTCCTCATCTCTTCCTGGCATACACACAGCCCTCTTCTCTAATTCCTGGACGCAGTCCTCATCTCTTCCTGGCATAGACGCAGCCCTTCTCTCTTCCTGTTTAGTTCAACAACATTGAGGTGATCTGCCTTTCTTTGAAGTTTCTATCTTTTTTCACTGCTGTGAATGATTATTTCTCTGCTGTGAATGATTATTTCTCCAATCTTCCTTTGTTCACCTTCTCTCTTTCTCTGCTGTGAAGATGTCTGGAAATGAAAATCAGATTCCTGTGTCCTTGTTGGACGAGTTTCTCGCTGAGGATGAGATCATGGATGAGATAATGGATGATGTTCTCCATGAAATGATGGTGTTATTGCAGTCCTCCATCGGAGATCTTGAAAGAGAGGCTGCTGACCATCGTTTGCATCCAAGGAAGCACATCAAGAGGCCACGAGAGGAAGCACATCAAAATTTGGTGAATGATTATTTCTCTGAAAATCCTCTATATCCTTCCAATATTTTTCGCCGAAGATTTCGTATGTACAGGCCGCTGTTTTTACGTATTGTGGACGCATTAGGCCAGTGGTCAGATTACTTTACTCAGAGGGTAGATGCCGCTGGTAGGCAAGGGCTTAGTCCATTACAAAAGTGTACTGCAGCAATTCGCCAATTGGCTACTGGTAGTGGTGCTGATGAACTAGATGAGTATTTGAAGATTGGAGAGACTACTGCTATGGATGCTATGAAAAATTTTGTGAAAGGAATTAGAGAAGTATTTGGTGAAAGATATCTCAGGCGTCCCACTGTAGAAGATACTGAACGACTACTCGAGCTTGGTGAGAGACGCGGTTTTCCTGGTATGTTCGGTAGCATTGACTGTATGCATTGGCAATGGGAAAGGTGCCCAACTGCGTGGAAGGGTCAGTTCACTCGTGGTGATCAAAAAGTGCCAACGCTGATTCTTGAGGCAGTGGCATCACATGATCTTTGGATTTGGCATGCGTTCTTTGGAGTAGCAGGTTCTAACAATGATATCAATGTTTTGAGCCGATCTACTGTGTTTATCAATGAGCTGAAAGGACAAGCTCCTAGAGTGCAGTACATGGTAAATGGGAATCAATACAACGAAGGTTATTTTCTTGCTGATGGAATTTACCCTGAATGGAAGGTATTTGCTAAGTCATATCGACTCCCTATCACTGAGAAGGAGAAGTTGTATGCACAACATCAAGAAGGGGCAAGAAAGGATATCGAGAGAGCATTTGGTGTTCTACAACGTCGATTCTGCATCTTAAAACGACCAGCCCGTCTATATGACCGAGGTGTACTCCGTGATGTTGTCCTAGGTTGCATCATACTTCACAATATGATAGTTGAAGATGAGAAGGAAGCGCGACTTATTGAAGAAAATCTAGATTTAAATGAGCCTGCTAGTTCATCAACGGTTCAGGCACCAGAATTCTCTCCTGACCAGCATGTTCCATTAGAAAGAATTTTAGAAAAGGATACTAGTATGAGAGATCGTTTGGCTCATCGCCGACTCAAGAATGATTTGGTGGAACATATATGGAATAAGTTTGGTGGTGGTGCACATTCATCTGGTAATTATGTTTTTATTTTGCATTATTAGTTATCTATGGTACTAAGATATGTACAAGTTTCTCTAAATTGCACTAAATCTGTGGTTCATATTGGATATGTGTAAACTATGAATGTAGCCTGACTAAAACCATCATTCATGCTGAACTGGTTTTTGTTTTGTATATGCAGGATGAAACAAGGAACTAGGTTTCTGAACGCATTACGGACTGAAGGTTGAGGGGCAGAATGATCCACCCAGTTGCTTCTATCAGATCACTAAAGTTTCATTTCACTGTTTTATTTTGGACACTTGATGCTTGTGTGCATCCGATGAATGTTTAATTTGGTCACCTGATGCTTGTGTGCATCCGATGAATGTTTAATTTGGTCACCTGATGCTTGTATGCAGTTATCTATCTTATTTGTTAATGTTGCTGGTACTGAGGATTTTTAGAAGTGAAATGCACAAGTTGCTGTGTTTTTTGACTGATCCTTGTGTGCACTTGACGTTGTATGTGACAAATGATGGTTCCCAGTTGTGCACCTGATTCATGATTCAGTTATTCAGTTTAAATTGACGTTGTTTGTGTGCACCTTTTGTCAGTTAGCCAGTTACGGCTGGAAGTTGTGTAAGTTTGTGTGACGCCTGGCTACAGGATTTTGGGTACAAATGATCCCAGCAACTTGTATCAATTAAATGCTTTGCTTAGTCTTGGAAACGTCAAAGTGAAACCCCTCCACTGTGGGGATTGTTTCATAAAAGATTTCATTTGAGAGAAGATGGTATAATATTTTGGGTAGCCGTGCAATGACACTAGCCATTGTGACTGGCCTTAGACTAGTTAAAGCTATAATAAATACAAGGGGTAGTAGGGATAGTATGGTTAATTTAGGTTGCGTTCATTCTTTATACTTCCCAGCATGAATGCGTATAGAAAACGGAGCGGTCTATTAGCGCATGATTAATTAACTATTAGCTAATTTTTTTAAAAAAGAATTAATATAATTTTGTAAAGCAACTTTCGTATATATTTTTTTAATAAAATACCGTTTAGCAGTTTGAAAAGCGTGCGCACGAAAAACGGCAGGGGAGAGTTGGGAACCAGCTGGAACAAACACAGTCTTAGTGTGTAAAAGTCATTTTTTGTAAGTACTAGGTTTGCTATATTTCAAATGAAATTTAAACTCCAAAAGTTGTTGTATTTTGGGTCGGATGAAATATTTACAAGTTGTATATTAATATTTTAATACTTTTTTTACTCTAGTGTAGATAGTATCAAGATTTATGGTGTGTTCGGGAGGAGGGGTTGGGAACCCCTCCTCACCGGCACGCAAAACGAAGTACGTATTATTACATGATTAATTAAGTATTAACTTTTTTAAAAAATGGATTATTATGATTTTTTTTAAAACAACTTTCGTATAGAACTTTTTTGCAAAATACATACTGTTTAGCAATTTGAAAAGCGTGCGTGTGGAAAACGGGAGAGTTGGGTTAGGAAAATTGGGGAAAGAACCCAGTCTTATGGACACACCTAACTCTACTTCTGTCCTATTTAATTGTGCCTGACGTTTATCTCGACTCCACGCGATCACCTCATCGTTATCGAAGTCACTCCTCTTCACCAACTCCGACGAGATTCCTATGCCCAACTCTCCTCCCCTAACTTTGGCAACTTGCTTTGCTGGATATCTGTTGTCGTCCCTGATCAACCGCTTGTTTCTTGTTTTTCCCCACCACATCCGCCATCCATCACCCCTCCTTCGTCCCTACGGGTTTGATGATGACATCATGGTTTTCTCCTACTTCAATCATCCCTCTAAAGCTACTCTCACCGTAAATCTACTCCATCTCACCGCCTCTAACCCTAACTATCTAATCGAGTGAGATCTCACCATCTCTATCCCTCTAGAGTTCAGGTGTCATCCTCATCGTCAATGAGACCTCACCATCTCCATCCCTCTTCTTTTTTTTTCCTACGCCCCCGCTCTAGAGGTCAAAGACAATGCTCGGGGCACTGAAGATGTACAAAAAAGCATGTGAGTCTTTTTTATATTACCACTTATCGATGTTGAGTATATCAGCTTAAAAGCTACATCCTTCTCCTATTGAGTTGGAGTAGCCTTTTATTGTTTTCATTCTAGCTTATCACTCATAGCCAAAATTTTAAATTTTAAAAATTAAATTTAGACAGTTAATTTCGAGTTATTTTATCGAAGTTTTTAGCATCTACTTTTAAAATCGCTAGAAATCTTAACTAATTAAAATATTCGTAATTTTCCGTTCGCCACAAGACGGATGAAGGCGCCTTCGTCCGTCGGCGGTGCGCCTTCGCAGCCCCCAAATCCCAATCGCTCTTAGAATTGGATACAGGGAAATACTTTCTAAAATCGGCGCAACCAAAACTCAACCACTCTGTCACAAAAAATCAACCACAATCATCATAAAATCACAAAATACATCACAAAACTTCACAAAAATATACATAAAAAAAGAAGAACAACAACATACATCACAAAACATCACTTGCCTGCTGCCGGATCCACCCTCGGCCATCGCCACCGCGGCCCTCGGCCGTTGCCACCGCCGCACTCGGCCGTCGCCATCGCCACCCGATCCATCCGCGGTAGCCGCCGACGCCACCACCGCTGCCGGAGGGAGAAGAGAGGCGGCGGAGGGAGCCGCCGCTCCTTATCCGCCCACGGACGCCGCCACCGTCACTGGATCTGCTGCGGGAGGAAGACGAGAGGGGACGGAGGGAGCCGCCGCAGCTAGATCTGCCTGTGGCCACCGCCGGCGGATCTGCCACGGGAGGAAGGCTAGAGGGAGTGGAGGGAGCCCACCGCCACAACCCTCGGATCCGCCTGCGGCCGCCGCCAACTCTCCGCCATCGCCGCTGTATCCACCGCGGAAGGGAGGCGAGACAGGGCGGAGGGAGCGGCCGCCGGCTAGGGAGGTGAGATGGGGCGGAGAGAGCTGCTGTCGCCGTCCCCGCCGCTCGCGGGAAGGGGGGAAGGGCACACTACAACCACTCGGGGGGAGGGGGTGGAGGGCGCTACCACCGCTGCTCGGTGGGGGAGGTCGCCACCGCCGTCGTCGGTTTTCGATTGATCGAGAGAGAGAGAGGATCGGGGGCGGGAAGGGTGGAAAAGAATTTTAGGATTAGGGTTTTTGCTGCAGACATTTATATTGGTTGTGATCAATCTAGACCGTCCATTCGATCGAACGGCTCCAGCTTCTCGCGCATCGGGCCACCGGACTATTGGGCCTCCGCATTATTGGGCCTACAAATGGGCCGCAATTAAAATAAATGTTTTCTCTCTCAGTAATTTTAAGCAACTTTCTATTTTCAAAAATAGCACCATTTTAATTATTTATGACTGCTTATTAATTTAATTCCAACTAAATTGAATAAACTAGAACATTGGCTAGATTTTTCTCATGATATGGATTTATTTTTCGACTAAAAATGTAATTATTTATTTGTCATGATATAGAATTTAAATTTAGACTAAAATTAAATAATTTTAATTTTTAATTCTATATGGACTCTATTCTTCTTCCAATATTCCTATTTTTTTATTGTTCTAATTAGTTTCTATATGAACTCTAAACTCTTCTTTCAATATTTTTATTTTAAATTTTAATTATTTTTCTAAATTGTATTCCTATATGCACTCTAGGCTCTTTTGGAGAATATTCTAGACTCCTCATCCAATATTATTTATTTTATAATTTATACTTTATATTAAGTCGTATTATTTATATAGACAGATTAATCTATCCAGTGTAGGGTTTTTTTTTGCAAAAAGATTTGTTTTATGTAGATATCCGATTGGACAACGTGATTTTTTTTAAAAAAAACAAAATGAAAGAGTCCTGGTCTACAATGAGTTCTCCTTATTTTTTTATATTTTACTCCAATTAATATGAGAATTTCTATTTGAGACTTTTCTAGCAAGCAAAAATACCAAAGCAGTGTGAAAATAACTTCGGTTAAAAACAAATATTTTTAGTGTTATTACACCGTAGCGAAGCACATGCATTTTGCTAGTACAAATATAAACTTTTTACCCATAGTTATTTGGTTCCTTTTTTTTGCCTCATCGCAGGGAGAGAACGACGAGGCCGTTAGTTTTGTGATCTAACGGCGACGATGCAATTATGATAACTAGTATGGTGGCCCGCGCAGATTGCGCGGCTAGCATCATTATATTTTCTCTCATATAATAGCATATATGTTTTCTCATTATATTATTAAAATATATTACAATGACAACATAATTTTAAATTTTGCAATAACTTTACGAAACTACTAATGTGTAATATTCATATTGTATTTTATATACATGTTAGTTATTAATTATTTTTAATATCAAATTTTAGTTATTTGTGAATTATATATATTCCTATATGGACTTTAGAATCGTATTTTAATATTTCTTTTTTTAATTCTAAATGTTTATTATTTCTAATTGTATTTCTATGTGGACTCTAAACTTATCTTTAAATATTCTTTAATTTTTAATTTCAAATTTCACTTACTTCTAAACTGTATTCCTATATTGGCTTTAAACTCTTCTTCCCATGTTTTTCTTAATTTCAAATTTTAGTTATTTGTAAAATATATTTTTATATGGACTCTAAACACTACTTTTCATTTTATTATGTTTATTCCGAATTTTAGTTAGTTTTAAATTCTTATATGGACTCTATACTCTACTTCTAATATTCCTTATTTTTAATTCTGAATTTCTATTTTTTTCTTAATTGTATTTCTATAAGGACTCTAAACACTACTTTTCATTTTATTATGTTTAATCCGAATTTTAGTTAGTTTTAAATTCATATATGGACTCTATACTCTACTTCTAATATTCCTTATTTTTAATTCCGAATTTCTTTTTTTTTCGTAATTGTATTTCTACATGGACTCTATACTCTACTTCTAATATTTCTTATTTTTAATTCCGAATTTCAGTTATTTCCTAATTGTATTTCTATATGGACTCTAGTCTCCTCTTCTAATATTTCTTATTTTTTTAATTCCGAATTTTAACTATTTCTAAATTGTATTTCTATATGAACTCTAGTCTCATCTTCTAATATTCCTTATTTTTTAATTCTGAATTTCAACTATTTCTAAATTGTATTTCTATATAAACTCATCTTTCAATATTCTTTAATTTTTAATTTCAAATTTCAGTTACTTCTAAATTGTATTTCTATATTGACTTTAAACTCTTCTTCCCATGTTTTTCTTAATTTCGAATTTTAGTTATTTATAAATTGTATTTTTATACGGACTCTAAACTCTACTTTTAATTTTATTATGTTTATTCCGAATTTTAGTTAGTTTAAAATTCCTATATGGACTCTATACTCTACTTCTAATATTCCTTATTTTTAATTCTGAATTTCAGTTATTTCCTAATTGTATTTCTATATGGACTCTAGTCTCCTCTTCTAATATTCTTTATTTTTTAATTCC